AAAGTGAGTAGATACTCATATTCGAAGTATGAAGTACCTAGAAAAAGTAATAATCTTATATACCTGAGCATCTGCCCGATGTACTGTGTATCTACTTGCAAACATTGTATCTCCCCGGACACAAATTGAACATTTACGCGTTTTGTGAGCATTTAATCTAAAAATGAGCATCGGCGTGGCAAATGACTATTTGTCCTTATAAATAATAAATTAAATGTAATATATTTTTTTTCCTTATTAAGAATATAGAGTTAACAAAGTTAGTTGAGTTACAAAAGTCTCTTTTGCTCCACGTTGGCCACCAACGAGCGATTTTCATGATTTTTGTGAAACTTTGCTGGTTTCGAATTTGAATTTTCTGTCCTCGATAGTTGATGCTTAGCAAGAACCACGGGAAGGTCTGGAGCAGATCTCGCTAGGAAAGGAGAGGGCTAGGAATTGTTAATGAGGGATAGAACTTTATACAGTACAATACAACGGAAATACAATACAGGTACCTACAATCTAGCTACAATACAGAATACACTACAGATACAGATACAATTCAGATACAATACAAATGCAAAGTTAGTACCCAATACACCACTGGAAGAAATTGCACCAAAAATTGAGAATGTTGCAAAATGAAAACCCAAGCAAGCACACCGATGGAACTCGGGACGAAATCTATTGGTCGCAGCGCTCACACGCCCAAGGGAGAACGCAGCCGCATAAATCCAAGGTCGTCTTACCTCATTCTCAAAGAACGATGCAACCCAGCGTCTAAGGGCCAAAAGAACCCCCCCAGGCCAAAGCGTCTGACGACATGGAGAATTCAAACCCGGAACCAAAGAATGCACTGTTGCAAAATTAATACCCAAGCAAGCACACCGATGGAACTCGAAACCAAATCTATAGGTCGCAGCGCTCACACGCCCAAGGGAGAACGCCGCCGCATAGATACAGGGCCGACTGACCACATCCGTTTAGGATGATGAACCTCATCCGTTTAGGAGGATGACCCAGCGTCTAAGGGCCAGCAGAACCCCCCCAGGCCAGAGCGTCTGACGACATGGAGAATTCAGTCTCGGAACCAAAGAATGCACTGTTGCAAAATTAAAACCCAAGCAAATGCATCGTGAAAACAAAGCATTTGCACCACTGGAGCTAAATTGGCAAGACCCAAGTTAAGTTAGTAACACATACAATTTACAGTAGAAAATGCTTCAATTACAAAAGTTACAATATACAAATTTCTCCACGTTTGCCAACAAAGAGCGATGACTGTGCTCGCTCGTTGCTGTTGCCCAGCAAGAACCAAACAATACGGGGAGGTCTGGAGTGCGTCTTGCCATTAAAAGAGAGGACTAGGGTTTGATAGCATGGGTGAAGGACACCGTATTTTGTAAATTTGGACGCCGTAGTTTAAAAATGATGCATACGGTATTTTGTGAATTATGAACGCTGCACTTTGTATATTCCAAAGCCGTACTTTATCAGTCCTGAATGCATGTTATTAACAACATATTTCAAAAAAAAACGGGCATTTTTGGAAAAATATCCACTTTCCTTCGTGTTCACAGCACGTAACACAAAACATTTTCGCTAATATTTATTAATAATAAATTAGAAATTCGCGAACACGTGCTACTTTTAAGCCAAAACGGAGCTCCAGTGTTGCTGCTACCGGACCGGAATCGAAACTAAACACAGAGGATGGAAAAATTGACCTTTTATCAGGTAGCTCACGTGACAGTGACGTCATCGTACGTCACGATGAGATTGCAAAAATTATTTTTCATATTTTAGATCAGAAATTGTACATTTTCGGGGTTAATTTAACAACGTTTAAACAAACTAATTTGTTTTTACTAACCTCGTGTTCTTAGGAAAACGGTTTTCGGTTTAATTATCATGTATTGATAGTTATCATATTTGAACATTATGAATTCTATTAATTATGTTTAAATTTTATTTAATTATATCGCGAAAATGTATAGCTTTGACCCACCAACTTCAATCGTTTCGAAAATTTATCCAAAATGTAAACATTGTCGACCAAACGAATCACGGAATCCGATAAATTAAAACTGAAGTCGTACTTACCCTGTTTTCGGTCTTTTTCGGAAAAATATTCATTTTCGTCCGTGTTCACAGCACTAACACAACAAATTTTCCTTAATATGTATTAATAATAAAATTGAAATTCGCTAAAACGCTCCACTTTTACGCCAAAATGACGCGACGATCTTGCCGCCATCAAACCGAAATTAATACTGAACACAAAGGACCGTAAAACGTGACCTTTATACAGGTAGCTCACGTGACATTGACGTCATCGTACGTCACCATGAGACTGCAAAAATTATTTTTCATATTTTGGTCGGGAAAATGCACATTTTCGGGGATAATTTAACATTGTTTAAACAAATTGATTTGTTTTTAATAATTTCGGGTTTGTAGGAAAACGAGTTTCGGTTTAATTATCGTATATTGATGCTTATCATATTTAAACATTATAAATGATATTAATTATGTTTAAAATTTATTTATTTATATCGTGAAAATGTATAGCTTTGATCAACCGATTTCAATCGTTTCGAAAATGTCCCCAAAATTTAAACAAAGTCGAGTGAACGAATCACGGGATCCGATAAATTAAAACTGAAGTCGTACTTACCCTGTTTTCCGTCTTTTTCGGAAAAATATCCATTTTCGTTCGTGTTCACAGCACTAACACAACATATTTTCCGTAATATGTATTAATAATAAACTAGAAATTCACTAAAACGTTCCACTTTTACGCCAAAATGACGCGACGATCTTGCCGCCATCAAGCAGAAATTAATACTGAACACAAAGGACCGTAAAACGTGACCTTTATACAGGTAGCTCACGTGACATTGACGTCATCGTACGTCACCATGAGACTGCAAAAATTATTTTTCATATTTTGGTCGGGAAAATGCACATTTTCGGGGATAATTTAACATTGTTTAAACAAATTGATTTGTTTTTAATAATTTCGGGTTTGTAGGAAAACGAGTTTCGGTTTAATTATCGTATATTGATGCTTATCATATTTAAACATTATAAATGATATTAATTATGTTTAAAATTTATTTATTTATATCGTGAAAATGTATAGCTTTGATCAACCGATTTCAATCGTTTCGAAAATGTCCCCAAAATTTAAACAAAGTCGAGTGAACGAATCACGGAATCCGATAAATTAAAACTGAAATCGAACTTACCCTGTTTTCGGTCCTTTTCAGAAAAATATCCATTTTTGTTCGTGTTTACAACACATTTTCACTATTATTTGTTAATAATAAATTAGAAATTCTTAAAAAGAGCCCTACTTTTAAGCCAAAACGGACTCTGATGTTGCTACCACCAAACCAAAATCAAAAGTAAACGCAGAGGACCGAAAAATGTGACCTTTTATTAGGTAGCTCACGTGACAGTGACGTCATCGTACGTCACGATGAGATTGCAAAAATTATTTTTCATATTTTAGATCAGAAATTGTACATTTTCTGGGTTAATTTAACAACGTTTAAACAAACTAATTTGTTTTTACTAACCTCGTGTTCTTAGGAAAACGGATTTCGGTTTAATTATCATATATTGATAGTTATCATATTTCAACATTATGAATTCTATTAATTATGTTTAAATTTTATTTAATTATATCGCGAAAATGTATAGCTTTGACCCACCAACTTCAATCGTTTCGAAAATTTATCCAAAATGTAAACATTGTCGACCAAACGAATCACGGAATCCGATAAATTAAAACTGAAGTCGTACTTACCCTGTTTTCGGTCCTTTTCGGAAAAATATCCATTTTCGTTCGTGTTCACAGCACTAACACAACATATTTTCCGTAATATGTATTAATAATAAACTAGAAATTCGCTAAAACGCTCCACTTTTACGCCGAAATGAAGCGACGATCTTGCCGCCATCAAACAGAAATTAAAACTGAATACAAAGGACCGAAACACGTGACCTTTATACAAGTAGCTCAGGTGACATTGACGTCATCGTACGTCACGCTGAGATTGCAAAATTTATTTTTCATATTTTCGCTCAGAAATTGTACATGTTCGGGGTTAATTTAACAATGTTTAAACAAACTAATTTGTTTTTGCTAACCTCGTGTTCTTAGGAAAATGGTTTTCGGTTTAATTATCACATATTAATAGTTATCATATTTAAACATTATGAATTAAATTAATTATGTCATTTCTGCAACTCTTGAGTTATTTTCTAAAATAAATTGACTAATCCATACATTTTTTGTCACTGTAAAAGCAAATCTAAAAAATATGAATGCAATGATAAATTTACGAAAATATACTGATGATATTTTGCACATTTTAGATAGGATTTATTCGGGCAAAATCTTGAGATGACGTCATCAAGTTTTTCGGCTTGATAAACTATACTACACTATATACTATACTAATTAAAAACGTACCATGTCAAACAGTAACTTCAAAACGTCTGCAATAAATCTAAATATTTAGTTTTGCAATTCTTGATTCAATCAATAAAATAAACTGACTCAGTGATTAATTTTTTTTTGAGACACCCCCTATAAGCAAAACTAAAAAATATGAATGGAATGATAAATCACAAGTATAGTCTCATCCTATTTTGGATATTTTAAAAAGGATTCATTTGGCAAAATTTTGGGCTGACGTCATCAATTTTTTGGAAGAAGTAAGTATTATTTTGAATAAAAATGTATTATGCTTATCAGATGTTTAAAACATCTGCCAGATTTCAAAGCATTCGGTTTGCAGATTCAAAATTAAGTTGTAAGTGAAACGAAGTTCACGGGGTCAGCTAGTTGCGAATAAATATAACAATTTTTTCGTGCAAAACGTCCATTTGAATGCGGCAAAATGTCACTTTATTGCACACCGTTCCCGACACCCTAGCCACTTCCATCCCAATCTAGCCAGTGCTAGACAGGGATTTTGCGTTTTCACGATTGGTCATCGCCACCACGTGTGCGCTGTCAAACCTGTCAACCCAAACTTCATTCCAATTTTTAGTTTATAATTTAAAGAAAACAATTTTATTTCAGTCCATTACGTAAATATGGCAGTTACGAAATAAGATCATGGTACGTACACTCCTCCACTTTCATTTTCGCCCCTAATACCTATCACTTAGCAGAATGACTTGGACCTCGAGGACTTGGAATCCATGCTCTACAGTCAGGTTTATCATGGTGTGAATGACGAAACTGAGCCGCACGAGAATTTAAGAGAGACGTTATCGAAACCTACGGACGACATGAGAAGGCCTGGCAGATATTTCGGTCCCTGGAGCCCAGGCTCAAGGTTGCATAAGAACGCGCCACAGAAGAGTGGTTCAAAAACGCCTGGACGCAGAGACAATCGGCAGGAGGGTAGTTATAACAAGAGTTTCGGGAAAGCGCGAAAACCGGAGATTTCTATAAATCAGGTGCTTGTGGTGAGCCCAAAACCCATCATGTGTATGACTGCGAAAGAGCGAAGTAGAGCGCGACGCAAGTTGAAAATGAAGGAAAAAATAAAACAGAAGAAGGCTCTGAAGGCACTTAATGTCGCTAAGTCGGTGAAACAAGTAGAGCAGGATGTTATTACGGTGTCAGACAGCGAAGATGATAGCTGCGTCATAGTCGATAATAAGTGGCCCGTGTTGTCCGTAGCGGACTCAGACGACGAAAAAGAAACCGTGCGTGAAGACAACGTAACACAATCAAGTAACATTGACAATACAGAAAACACAGAAGTGGAGACTTTGAATGAAAGTTTAACAGATGACGTTATATTTATAGAACCTGTTGTAGCCCCTATTGAAGTTATCAACCTAGATGAAGAACTTGACGTTAGTAAAGAAAAACACAGCGAGACTGCGTCCTCTGCATCCTCCGACAATACTAGCATTAATGACTCTCCAACAAAAAACCTAACCCAACAAATGCACCAAGAACGTAAAGAACTGTTAAGAACTCCAGATTCCGCTTCAAACGATTTTATGAATAACTCAGGGGTCGAGTTGAATCAAAACAATTTCAATTTTAGTCTTCACGGGTCTGATTTTAACAACGACGCTTTCCTTAAGCCAGCGCCACCTACAGAAACCTGTGAAACTGAAAGCAGTTCGAGTACGACAGACGCAAATTCCGTAAATTTAATGAAAACGATAGTTTTTAATGAAGTGGATTTTCCAAAAGAGGACATATTTTCAGAAAACAATTTAGAGAGTTTTGGTAATTTTATAACCCCTCTTAGAACTAGTGCAACTATGAGTAGTGTGCAATCGTCGCCTTTGAGGCTTCCTGACCCCCAAAATAAAACTATTTATTCAAGTGATAGTAGCTCAGAGAGCGACTATGAGGAGGCTCAAATTGACAAGAAAGATGTGGCTCAAAAAGCGAAATTGTTGCCAGAATTGTCACCCATGCAGTTGAAACAGAGCGCTTCTCTTTCTATAGTGAAGAAAACGAAGAAAACGAGCGGTTTAGATAGCAAATATGATTTAATAAGTGGAACTGAATCTCCTGTGAAAGATATAAAAGCGAAAAATTCGTGTAAAAAGAAGAAAAAGAACAAGAAGAGAAAGAGCGGTAATGATGAAAGTTTTGAAAAAGAAATGGTGACTGAGGAGGTTGAAGATGAGTTAAAGAGGAAGAAACGAAAATCCAGTCAGATGGAGAATTCAGAACTTGGTGAGAACAACCAACCAAAGAAAAGAAATGTATCTATTAATAGCAATGATGTGACTCAGGAAGCCACTCCTGACGATGAACTTACACCTGTTGACGTTTCAGATCCTGCAGGCACAGGAAATAATGCAGACGTAAATGAATTTATAAAAAGCGACAGTTTTCAAATTGTTGAAAATATCGAAACGGAACTAACGCCATCTGTTGTCAGTCGTGACGAAACTAAAAATGACAGTGTACTTATCACAACAGAGGATCACACAACTCCACCAATAAACAACATTTCACTGATAGTAAAAGACGACAAACCCAACGAATCAAGTGACCTCCAACTTGTTGAAATTAAAGAAGAAGAAACTGAGTCGCCACCTGCACCGCTAGATGGCGTAGTCGTCGTCGAAGAAGTGTTCACTGAGACGAATACTCTGGTTGAATTATCAGACGCAGAGTCGGTGTTATCGTCGTTGCAAGAGCAACCAGACATCCAACTGAATTTCGAGGAGCCAAAAAGCGACGATAAAGTTTGCTTAACAGTCGAGTTTGGCATGGATTTGACTAAGTACAGTGTGAAAGAGCTCCAGCTGAAGATGTCAAGTAATTGATGTAAATCTATTGTTATTTTTCTTGTTACAATTTTCGCGATGTTATAGATGATCCAAAACTTTGGACAATCTTAGACTCTGATAGGTCGCCGTCGAGAAAAAATAGGGGGCGAAGGTGCACTAGGTGTAAGCAGTTTGGCCATGTCGGGATTAGGTGTACCAATAGGGTTGAACCGAAGTGTACGCTGTGTGGAGGACGTGGGCATTATGAACCGAGGTGTCCAAATAAACTCTGCACACAGGTATGATTTTTTTTTAGTTTCTTCATGAAGTAAATAATGCGAACTTTATTTTTTTGTGTTTTATTTTTGATATTATCATTAATTTCAGACTGTATTTATTTATTTTTACAACGTATTATTCAAGAAAAGGCATAATTTCTTTTTAGAAACGCATTTAACGGATTATTTTATCAGTAATTTCTTTAGTTAAACATTCTTTTCCTTTGTAGATTTGTTTGATTGTAAATAATAAAGACAACGATATTTCTAAGAATGAATTTAATTACGGTTGACTCCATTCAAATATTCTCTTAGAATTCTATCTATTAAATTAATTAAAAAAACTAGATGTATAACTTAAAAGTAAAGGCGGATTCATAGACCACAAATACAGAAGTATGTTATTTTATGTAATTTTAAGTAACATTTACTATGAACAATTTTGAGATGGTGTCATCAGATTGTTACTGGGGATGACTAGACAAATCGTGGTTAGAGTTTTACCGTCTGTATGATCGTTATAAAATTTTTAAGTTAAGTTTTACCTTCGTAAGTACTAGCCCCACGTATCCGCCCTCTATTTACTCAGAGGATATGCCATTTGCCAAAATAAGACTTATCTTAGCAACTACTACACTTTGAGAAAATAAAGGGCGGGTGGGCGGGGTTAGTATTTGTTAAGATAAAACTGATTCTGCCCCTATTAATCTTGTAAAAACTTGTGAAATTTGAAGGTATTAAATTGCAAATTTCCATAGTAACGAGTTCAATTTGTGCAAAATATGATGAGTTTTTACTTGTGATTTTTAATTGCATTCATATTTTTTAGATTTGTGGTGGCTAAAAAAACGAATGTGTCCATTTATTTTTTTGATTAAATCAGGAACGACTCACTCCATTTTCGCAGAAAATTTTGGTAATACAATACTGTTATTTTTAGTATTGCACTGCACCAATCCAAGTTGATATACATGTCCTTGCAAAATTCATCCCCACCAATAATGTGATGACGTCACTTCAAAATTGCACATAGTAAATTGTATGAAATAACATAGTCCCACACATGTAGTTTATGATTCCGTATTGAGTATTTACCCGAAGCGTCCAGATTTTTGGAAAAAAAATCAAAATTATAAAACATTTTGCAATTTAATTTTGAAACTGCAAAACCGAATGCTTTGAAATTTTCCAGATGTTTTAAAGTCTTGATAAGCATGATACATTTTTTAATCAAAATATATTTACTTATCCCCTCCAAAAAATTAATGACGTCACCTCAAAATTTTGCTGAATATACCCTATCTTAAATGTACAAAATATGAGTCTGTACGAACTTGTGATTTATTTTTAATATATGTATAATTATTTTTTTTTTAATTTGGTTATACAGGGTGTCTCAGAAAATTTAAATTTAACAAGTTATTACAAGGGGCAATTAATATTTTGCCTTTTTTCCTTAATTAATAAAATAAAAAATAAATAAAATAAATAAAATTAATATACATAATATTCTTTGAACAACACGATACTCAAAACATGTTTTCAATTTCTTGTAAAGAAATAAGTATTTTGCAGTTATACTCTGCCCCCTTGGTTCACGGCGAATAAAATAATCATCACAATCGAGATAGGGTGGGTGGGCGGGCTTACATTTTGCCTTTTTGTTTTAATATGTGTAGACTTCTTTTCACCACATCAAACTTAAAACATGTTTAAAATGGAAAATTTGGAACTATCGATTTTGCAAATGGGCGCCGCCCCATAATTGCAAAATCCATATTTCCTTGCAAAAATATATCATTTTAACCATGTTCTAAATTTCTTGTGCAAAGATGGCTATGTATATTAAGAAAAAAAGGCATAATATAAGCCCCGCCCACCCACCCCGTCTCAATTGTGATGATTTTTTTTTATTTGTCGTAAGCCGAGGGGCGGAGCTTAATTGCAAATTCCTTGTTTTTCTACGAGAAATTACCATGTGAAATATATTATTAACTAAATGTATTAATTAAAAAAGAAAACCAAAAGAGATGCTACTTTAGGCACGAGGAAAATTCTTGAAACATCTTGAAAATGGTAAATTTTTCTAAAGAAATGTGGATTATGTAACCTCCCTCTTTCGAAACGACAGTAAATGAAAAATTCGTCACAATTGAGATAGGGGCGGGTGGGTGGGGCTTAATCATTGGCTTCTTTTTCTTAATTATAGAGTTCACTTTCAACAACATAATACTTAAAACATAATTTAAGCCTCGAATTGACCATTTGATATATTAAGTAAATATTTTCTTATTGAAATGGATTAGCCCCACCCGCCCACCCCATCTCAATTGTGATGAATTTTTTTATTCGTCGTGAGACCGGGAGGTGAAGCTTAACTGCAAAGTCCATATTTTTGTACAAGAATTTATGGATTGAAATATGTTTGAAGCATTATGGTATTGTTTTGAGAAAAAATAGGAAACGAGAAGACAAAAAAAAATATTCAATAGGGGCAAATTCAGTCTTATCTTAGGAAGTACTAGCCCCGCCCACCCGCCCCCTATTTTCTCAAAGGATACGTCATTTGCCAAAATCAGTCTTATCTTACTGTAACCGTATTCGAGATACATCCACATAAATTTTTATGGCACCAATCATTCAAAAAGCGGTGCTCCTGAAACCGCAACCATAAATTATGAAAAGGGTTTGACAGGTCATTTTATACAGAGCCCTATTCGGGTTGAGTTGAAAGTTTTACCTGTTTTCGGGAATGAAAGGTATTTTGGATAGATTTGAATTGGTCTTCATTTCAATAACTGATTTTACGTCTTACTTGTCGGTCGTTATAGTGCCTTATCTTAATATATATAAATCTCGTGTCACAATGTTGGTCCTCAATGGACTCCTAAACCACTTAACCGATTATAATAAAATTCGCACACCATGTGCAGTTCGATCCAACTTGAGAGATAGGATAGTTTAAATCTCAAATTATAGTCGCAATTTTAATTTATTGCTAATTATTTGTCTGCTATTATTTGACAGTCACAATTATCTGTTAACTCCAAATGATTCTAACAGATGTCGATACCTTCCGACTGGGTTTCTAATATTTAAACGATTAAATTATTATTGTCAGTCAAATGCCACCGAAAAAATCTAACCTCAACAACGCGAGCAGCAAAGGGTCACGACGCAAACGTGTTGAAAGAGCTCAGCAATTACCAGAACAAATCGAAACAAGAAATGCAGCTGAAAGAATCAGGACTGCAGAAAGTCGTGCACAAGAATCTCAAGAACAGCGTGACGAACGTCGGCAACAGAATATTACGAGAACAAGAGCGGCACGAGAACGAAACATAGCTACAGTACGAGTACTAGATCGACAAAGGCAACGGATCAGCCGCTCATTAACACGTGCATCATTCGTTCGGCTTGCCTTTGAATATGCACCAGATATTAACTACTCAGCGCATTCAAAAATTGCTATCGGTGGAATGGATAAAGTATGTCAATATTGTCAGGGATTGAAATTTATCAAGTGTAAGAACATTTTAATTAATTGTGTTCAACGTACTTCCCCTTCAAATCTCAATCCAGTGAATTTGTATACCAACATCAACATTTTCGTCTTTGTTCGTAAATAATTTCATTGTACTAAAGGGTTATAGTAGTAGAAAGTCAAATAAGGAGATCACCATATTTTTTTACAAATACCATCTGTGTGAAAAAGTATAGTGGACTCCGTGACTGATGTTCTCTTATTGTTCCTCTTAGATTGTTTACTATAATGTAATATAACAAAAACTTTAGCCACAGCAACGCGTGGCCGGGTCAGCTAGTAATCTTATAAATATTATTTAACTAATACAATTTGTCTATTATTTCACCTTATTTTTTAACAGAGTACGGTCCTGAAAAATTCTGCCGGAACGTGCCGATATCTGGTCGCATGGGGTGTTAAAAGCAATAAATTACTGTTGCCATTGTGCAGGAGTTTCACTCATTATCTGCCATAAAATTTTATGTGGGTGTATCTCGAATGAAATTTGTATAGCCAGTACTAGTTACGCCCACCCGCCCCCTATTTTCTCAAAGGATGTCATTTGCCAAAATAAGACTCATATTAGCAAGTTATAGCCCCACCCCGCCCGATAAGTCTTATTTTGGCAAATGACATCCCCTGAGAAAATAGAGGGCGGGTGGGCGGGGCTAGTACTTGGTAAGATAAGACTGATTTTGGCAAATGACATATCCTCTGAAAAATAAGGGGCGGGTGGGCGGGGCTAGTATTTGTTAAGATAAAACTGATTCTGCCCCTATTAATCTTGTAAAAACTTGTGAAATTTAAAGATATTAAATTGCAAATTTCCATAGTAACGAGTTCAATTTGTGCAAAATATGATGAGTTTTTACTTGTGATTTTTAATTGCATTCATATTTTTTAGATTTGTGGTGGCTAAAAAAACGAATGTGTCCATTTATTTTTTTGATTAAATCAGGAACGGCTCACTCCATTTTCCCAGAAAATTTTGGTAATACAATACTGTTATTTTTAGTATTGCACTGCACCAGTCCGAGTTGATATACATGTCCTTGCAAAAATCATCCCCACCAATAATGTGATGACGTCACTTCAAAATTGCACATAGTAAATTGTATGAAATAACATAGTCCCACGCATGTAGTTTATGATTCCGTATTGAGTATTTACCCGAAACGTCCAGATTTTTGGAAAAAAAATCAAAATTATAAAACATTTTGCAATTTAATTTTGAATCTGTAAAACCGAATGCTTTGAAATCTTGCAGATGTTTTAAATTTATGGTAAGCATAATAAATTTTTAATCAAAATCTATTTGCTCATCCCCCGTAAAAATCGGTGACGTCACCTCAAAATTTTGCTGAATATACCCTATCTTAAATGTGCAAAATATGAGTCTATACGAACTTGTGATTTATTTTTAATATACAGTTGCCGCCAAAAAATTTCAGACGTCAGTGTCATTCAGTCGTCAGATAGTGTAAAGCAACCTTTA